TGATTTATATCTTAATAACTAACAATCAATCATATACGTGTATAACAATTATTGTTAAATCTAAAATGTATTAATGTAATTGGAATTTTGTAGTTTTAGTTTTCTATATAATTATGTATAATTATTCGCTGCACAGTACTAACCCAGTCTTTCAATTTTCATCTAAATTTTTTTCCAAAATTAAGTATTTTTATTTCGTTCGGTACTACATTATATAATTTAGCTGCTAAGAATTTAAATGATTTTTTGAATAATGTTTTGTGTGGTCTTTGGATATTAGATGAGCCTATTCGAAATCGTGTGTTATTCTCGTGTTTATAGGATTTTTTCTTTTCATTACAATACTTATGGTATAAGGTGGTGGCATGTAAGAAATAAAGTTGTCTTGTATCAAGTATCCCTGTTTCCTGATATAAGTTGTTCGTCGGATATAATCTTGGCTTATGGAAAATGGATTTCAAAACAGTTTTTTGTGCTATATTCAGGTTAGAAATATATGTCTTGCAGGCGGCACCCCAGGCTGTGATTCCGTATATTATACTAAATGACATATAAATCCGAACACCCAGTTTAAATGGTTTTATTTTAATAAAATTTTGTATAAGTACTTAATGAAGCATAATAAGTAAATGATAAAAATTTCAAAATGATGCAATGCTTTAAAGCCCTTTGACCTTTAATAATGTGTGGATGCACCCTGATGTGCTACGCATTCTCCAACGCGCCTAGGCATGCCTCTGATCAGGTGGTCAATGTCCTCCTGTGGTATCTCATTCCAGGCAACCACCAACTCCTCTCGAAGTGCTTCTAGAGTCTGAGGAGGACGTTGCAAACTGAGCAATCTCCTACCCATCATATCCCACACGTGCTCAATTGGGGATAAGTCGGGAGATCTTGGTGGCCATGGTAACAATGTGACATCATTATATTGAAAGAAGTCTATTGTGACCCTTGCAACATGTGGTCGGGCATTATCTTGTTGGAAAGTTGGATCCGCCAGGGTGTCAAGATAGGGTAAAAGATGGGGTTCTAGAACTTCGTGGATATAACGCTGCGCGTTCATGTTACCTCTGATGAAGATTAAAGGTGACTTGGAACCATAGGCTATAGCACCCCAAACCATAACTCCAACAGTGTGATGAACATGTCTTTCAACAAAAAACTGTGGATTCCTCCTTTCACCATGTCGGCTTCTAACCCTGGCACGACCATCGTGCATGCCTAAACAAAATCGAGACTCGTCGCTAAAGACAATACTGTTCCGTTCCTGATCCCAGAGTGACCGTTGTCTGCACCACTCAAGGCGATTACGTCGGTGTTCTCGAGTTAAATGGAGGACCCAGTGTGGCCGGTATGAAAACAAGCCAAAACTTCTCATTCGTCGGTAAACACTTCGCATGCCAATAGGTCTTCCGTGTTCTGCAAAAAATTCATTTGCAATGGACCTGGTAGTGGAGAAACGGTCCCTTAAGGCCAATAATCTTAGGCGGCGATCTTCAAGGTCTGTTGTCGTGTCCAGTGCCCCTTGCTCTTTGCGTACGGCCTTCTCGAAGCCATGCCTGACAACACCTAACCACAGTGTCTACATTTCTTTGCACTCTAACTGCAATTTCCCGAAAAGATAGTCCAGCTTCCCGAAGTCCCACTATACGGCCCCTATCAAACTCAAACAGGTCTCCCTACTCTAGGCATCGTAACCGATCGTAAAGGATGTCAAGAGCCAAAATCCGCCAACGTTGATTCTTTACTGCGGCTGGAATATTCATTTTTAGAGCGTTAGTGAATTAAAAAAAAGCAGTATAAAAACCGGAATGTCCAACTGATGGCTGAAAAATTTTTCACTTGTTATTTACAGTAAGATAAATACATTCACCAACTGTTATTAAAATAAAACCATTTAACCTGGGTGTTCGGATTTATATGTCACTTAGTATATATGGGTTTCAACTAAGGCATGGTATAGGATTCGCAGATAACTTTCTGTAAGAATGTTAGCAAGCATTTTGAGTTTATAGGCAACATTTCTAATTTTTTTGATAACATATTTAATATTATTATCCCACCTTAGATGTGAGTCCATAAATATTCCAAGATATTTCAAAGTGTTAACTCTATCGATGTTGGTCTTTTGGCCATGATAATTAACGGAAATGTGTTCGAAGGTAGGTAAAAATTTTGAATAGGATGTAAATGCAATAAATTTTGTTTTTTTTTGAAGTTAACTGTTAAAATTTTAGTATCAAACCAGTCAATGATCCTTATAAAATCCTTTTCAGCTATTTGCTTCAGTGTGCTCCAGTCATCAGCTTTATATAATACGAGGGTGTCATCTGCAAAACATATAATCTTTCCAGAACTGTTAATTTTGAATAAGTCATTTAAGTAGAGACTAAATAATAGTGGGCCTAGTACTGTTCCTTGAGGCACACCACACTTGATGTACATTTTTTTACTGTAAGTGTTAGTGATTTTGACAGTCTGTGCCCGACTTGAAAGGTAGTTTTTTAAAAGGATTTGTGACGCTCCCCTAAATCCCAATCTTTCCATAACTTTCAGAAGCTCGACATGGTTAACCGTATCAAAGGCATTTTTTAGATCACCAAAGATACCAATAGTAGGTATCTTTTTGTTGACATTAGAGTTAATTTCATCCATTGCAGCCAAAATTGCATGTGTAGTAGATTTTCCTTTTCTAAATCCATATTGGTCAGAACATATAATTTTGTTTTTATCCAAAAATTGTAATATCCTTTCTTGTAGTAATTTTTCGAAAATTTTGGCTATATTCGATAGTACTAACATGGGTCTATCATTTGATGTTTCCATTCTGTCACCGCTTTTATAAACAGGAGTAATAACAGTTATTTTAAATGCATCAGGACAAATTCCAGATTGGAAACACCAATTAATGACGTAAGAAAGTGGTTCGGCTAAGTCGTAGACTATTATTTTTACCACCAGGACTTTTTTTGGTTTTAAGTGATAGGACAGCTTCTTGTACTTCAATCGGACTAACGCTTTCTAAAAAGAATGAATTGGGAAGTTGAGCTTTTGGGAACATGTCGTTCGAAACCTTTTTTTAGTACTTGATGCTAAATTTTCTCCAACAGTGAAAAAATTTAAGAATGCATCGGATATTTGTCGTTTATTTGTTAATGATGTTGCAGATAAAGTTCAGATTTTATTTGTCGATCAAGGATTAGGTTTTGAAATCGACACATGATTTCCCTATTTACTTTCAAGTTTGGCCGAAAGTGGATCGCGATTTATTTTTTGATTTGTTAGAGTCAAATGGAAAAAATTAGAAGGTATGTGTATTCGAACTACTGCGATATTATCAAGACATGAGTTGATGACTTACCTTAAGCTGGGCCAGAAAGCAGTGCGCCCTTTGTACTACGGTCATGTGCGCATTCTCGGTTGGTGCCGCTGATCGAGGTCTGAACTCACTCGATTGCCGATCGGTTTCTCTGGGACTGCTTAGCTCCGAAGTGGACTCGCTCAGGTGCCGATGATGCCGACGTTTCCGCGACTTGGGAGATTTTGGAGGTATGGAAGGACGAGGAGGGGTCTCCAGCAGGTAGGTGGAAGTAACGCTTTGCTCCAAGTCACGTTCTGGAAGAGAAAAAATAGGACTTACTCAAATTATTTAGAGTCCACGTACATACATGGTGTGGCGGTTCAGTTCTACATAATGATTCCTACATTGTTCGTATGACAGGAAGCACCCTTAGCAATTCTCAGAACTCAATCCAATCAGTACCACGATTACAGCTTTTTGACGGTTATACCGCCGTGATGAATGTTACGGAGAGGCTATAACGTAGATACGACTACGTTGGAATGCCTGGAGGGAACTTCCGCAAGATGTTCAGGAATACGTGAGAACTTTTATCATTATCTTTTTTCAAGTTTCTACTTCCCTATGCCAAAATTGGCGACGAAGTACCTACTGTAGTCGCAAAAATCTTCGAAATTGAGATGTTTTTTGGATGTTACCTGACATATACATCACGAAAAACCATGCCACGCATTTCCTAGGGTCTGTCTATCTGTATGTCGGTCGGTCCGCTAATTTCATAACCGCCTATAACTTGAGAAGTACCGCTCGGATTATGATGAAATTTTCACACAAGATTACTGAAAAAGCTTCATAGTTTTTAAAAAATTGGTCTAGTGATGGCGGAGCTACGGGCCAAAACACGAAATAAAAATGAAAACCGCTTGAACTCCAGATCACTTTCGGAAATTTTTTTGTTGAAACTCGGGGATTGGGGTGGTAGGGGGTAGGGGGATGTATATGTTACGTCTTCAGTATTAGTCAAAGACGATATTTCGTTAAGAAGCTTCTTATCTCGGTACCAGCGGGAAAACTAAATGATGAAGATCCGATGTATTATGCACTCATCATTCGAAATAAATTGCCATTGCGAGTAACAAAATCCAACTACCCAGATAGCACAGAACATCTTAAAGACCTCAATCATCTAACTAAACTAATCACGTTTTTAAGATTTATATATTTTGTCAACCAATTGCATTACTTCTAACTGTACTGAAGGACAGGTTGTTAAGTTTTCAGATATCTTTATTTAACGATAAACACCAATTGTCTTTTGCTGGAATCTTTTAAACTTCAAAATTTATCATCCTGTTTTAACTCATCAACTCGCCGCCAGATGACGATTAGTCGAATAAAGTGAGCACATCTCTATACCTACCTCGGCAACATCTCTAGCTCGGACATCTGTCAATGTCATTTGTCATTTGTGTCAGTGTTTTTTGACGCGTAGGAGGACATAGCGTACACAGAAAAAGTACTTTCCTACGTATGCTTTTGCCACTTTTGCATAATTTTCCAGTAGTTTGCCGTGGAAAACAGAAGTAAATTGGCAGTTGTTAACATTAGAAAAAAGTGTAAAATTTGCAACGTAAGAAATATTTTGGATTACAATATTAAATAGTTTATAGAACAAACTGTACCTACTTATTTATTTCAGTGTCTGCTGAAAGGGCTGGTGTATACCAGAGCCAACATGAGGCGAAGCTAGGTAGACAGGGCTTGGCTGAGACGAGCTTCAGATCGCCGGACAGCTACCCAGAAAACGTTTGACAACAGAATTTCGGTTTTAATAAAAACATTTTTTTAATAGTCCGCCTGTTTTATATTATATATTTGTATTGTCACACTGAAGACCTTGCGTCCCAACTAACAATTATTTATCAGTCCTATTAGAGTTGTAAGAACGATTATACAGTTTTCCTTACACAGCATTGTATACTGTAAGAATATTGGCAAAACGCTCTTAGAACAGCTATACAAGCGTAATGGGCACACCTAATAGGACACTTCAGGTTGTATAAGGGCTGCACGTAACAGTTACACAACAAAACTGTAAACCTCTTGCAGCCGCTATAGAACATTTGCGTCAGTGCAAGATTCAGTTTTTGTCAACTATACAACTATTCTGTTACATGATTCTATTTTATTGCAACCAAACTATTTCTTATATATTGTATAGGCGAAGTGAAGAATATATAACTAACACATTACAGTCATCTTGTTTACTTATATATCGGCCATTGTGAATTTCATACACAGGTATCTGTGATATAGGTCTGTTGAATTAGTTGTGCAGCAAATTTTATTGTGATTATCGTGCAAAGTAGTTACACAATTTCTCCCACAAATCCAATATTTAGACACAATTACACTAATGTTTATCACCTTATATCTGTAAAGTCGAACTGAAACATAATTAATTAATTTTCAATAGAGGAATATATTTTTGCCCAATATGGCAGGTGGTTATATATAATGATGACATCGTCCATGTTGCCTTTGGTTTATTAGAATATTTTGGTCTTATCTGCAAGTGTTGTACAACAATTTGACAAATATCCAAAATAAAATACGGACAGAGTCGAATGATTTACCCAGAATTTGTACCAGATCTATATCTCCTGTTTAAACAGTTGATAAAACCTTTTAACCCTTAAGTACTGACCCGTCGACGCTCAGACTACGGTCAATTTTCAAAGGGAAATATTTTATATAATTTCAATTATTTGAATATACCTAATCGCCTCAGAAAATTATTGCGAAATTGCGCGAACGTATCCGAGATTATTGTATATTGAAAGGCGGGCGTCGTCTAGTAGACTACGCGTCAGTAACAACGTTATTGTATCTATGAGCGGTTCGTGTTTTGTACACAACAAATATGAGCGGGAATCCATCTTGTTCGTGTACGATATCATCTTTAGATCCAAAGTTTGAAGAAACGGCAATGAAATGGTTCGAAGAATGTGACAGTGACAATAGTTATAGTGAGAGCGATTGCGTATCTGAGTTTATAGAAGAGCAAGAGGATCATAGATCATCTGATACCTCAGATAGTTCTGGCAGTGATGATCATTCAGTGCAAAATGCTGATACGGATACGGATTCCAGCAAGTTTTATTATGGAAAAAACCGCTATCGTTGGTCGAAAGTTGAAGCATTTCCTACCCGTGGGAGGGTTCTGAAGCATAATATAGTTTTACAACTTCCTGGTCTAAAAAGTCAAGCTCTGACTCTGGGCACAAAAGCTGATCCTCTAGTAATATGGCACTTACTTTTCACACCTGACATGTTAGATATAGTGGTTCAGTGGACAAATGTAAAAATAAGTGGTTACCGTCAAAAATTCAAGCGTCAGAACAGAAGTGAAATTAGTGACACAGATGTAACTGAACTTCGAGCATTTCTAGGGATATTGATATACAGCGCAATATTCAAGACAAATTATGAAAATATACGCACTATTTTTGCCACTGATGGTACCGGAAGAGACATTTTTCGAGCTGTGATGAGTAAGGATAGATTTGCTGTGCTTTTGGCTTGTTTACGTTTTGACAATCCAGACACCCGCAAAGAAAGAAAAAAAGAGAATCCCACTGCTCCGATTTCAGAACTTTTTGAACAATTTATTCATAACTGTCAAAGTGTTAATACAATCGGTCCCTCGGCGTGCATCGATGAAATGTTGGTGAGTTTTCGTGGACGATGTAGTTTTAGAATTTACATGCCTAACAAGCCAGACAAGTATGGCATCAAATTGTTGTGCTTAGTAGATGCAAGAAATGGCTATTTATATAATAGTTATATAAATTGCGGTAAAAACTCAGATGGAATAGGACTATCAGAAAAGGAAAGAAAATTATCCATTCCAACGCAATCCGTACTTAGGCTTTCACATCCGTTGTTTCATACTAATCGTAATATAACAGCTGATAATTGGTTTTCTTCAATTCAGTTGGTTGAACCTCTAAAACAAAATGGTCCGACATACGTAGGAACTTTGAAGAAGAACAAACGGGAAATCCCATGTGAATTTCAACCCAATAGAAAAAGGGAAGTGGGGACTACTTTGTATGGTTTTACAGAAGAAATGACCATGATATCCTTCTGCGGAAAGAAAGGAAAGTCGACCATTCTGCTTTCCTCTATGCACCACCAAACAAAAAGAGACTGACCTTACTATAGGAAAACCTGAAATAGTATCCTTTTAGATGTTGCATGCACGAATGCGTATATACTTCACCAGTCCTATAGAGATAACCCGAATATCTCACAGAAATATATATTTCTGAAAGAGCTAGCAATGAAAATGGTTGCACCTCAACTTCAAAGGAGAGAGTCAAATCCCTGTATAACACGGGAACTAAAATGATGTATTCGTCGCATTTTGCAAAAGGAAGAAACAGAAGTATTGAATACTGATGATGAAATTCTGAAAAAAAGAAAAATTTGCAGCATATGCCCTAGCAAAAAAAGAAGAATGACCAAATACCAATGTTCAGCCTGCAAAAATGCAATATGCCTACAATGCGCAAAAAAAGTGTGTATTCGTTGTATTGACAACTTTTAAAATTTAACCCTTAAATCATAGTTTATATGTTGCAATATTCCTGGAATATGTTTTTTATGTACTTTTCTCTTTATAAAAAGTTGAAATATTAGTTTGTGAATATGGTTTTTATTGGTATAATCATTTTCTGTTTATATACTTTTTCTAATTAGTAAAAAATTAAAAGTTTGTTTTCGAAATTTAAACAGTAGTAAGAATTGATTTTTAGAAAAATGAAGGATTATTAATATTGATTATCAACTTATTTTAGTAATATATATCTTTATACATGCAAAATTTAACACAAACCTGATTTTTTTTAATCTCTTGCAATGATTTTACTAGGGTAGTCTGATAGACGACTCGTCAGTATCTATGTCCAAATAACGGAGCGTCAGTACTTAAGGGTTAACAAAGTATCCTGTGTTACCATATACCACATGAATATTAGAATATCGTCACATAAACTCACTAGACAGTGTCCAGCTGTATACGTTTCTTTGACATGCGGAGAAATTTAAAGAATTGACAGTTATCATAGCTACAAAGCGATGGTTCCACCATTAAAATTTTGGGCGCCCTATCTTTTATTTCCACGACAAACAAACAACAAAAATAAGTGACTTAACACTTGAACAATATGTTCTAAAAAAAAAAAACATTTCTCCCATTAATATTATCAAAGTTTTCTTTTTTAAATTTTCCATATCACTGTTGTAGACGAAAAAGCACCGATTATTAAGTAATAATAAATCAACGCGTTCAAGCCATTCAAGTAACTGACGTCATCAACTCGTGTGTCATCTTAAACGACATTATAACCGCGATAATAATAAATAATACAGAAATGTTGGTTATGCGCTTGGATTTGATTCTTGGCATGCGGCACTGCTATGCTGTTGATGCTTTATTTAGGGATGCTTATGTTAGCACAATTTTATCAACATTGCTTAAAATGAGACTAGAGAAAATTATAGATCCGCAGTTGGGAGATTATCAAGCTGATTTTAGCAAGGAAAGACCGACATTTTCACGAAAGAAGCTGCTACGAATATAAAATACTAGCAATCATACTATTTATTGACTTCCAAAAAGCCTACGACACGATCAGAAGGAATGCAGTATTTCATAGAATGAATTATTTCGGTATACCTGGAAAACTCATAAACCTCACAAGGATGACGATGAGACAAACAAGAAGTATGGTCGAGATAAGAAGAGAATTGACAGAACAATTCGAGATTAATACATAATACATTATCTACACCTTTATTTAATATGATCCTAGAAAGAATCGTTATTGAAAGTCAGCTGGATAGATCAGGAAGTACATTATTTAAAAGTCACCAACTCACTGCCCATGCTGATGATGTCGCCATAATAGATAGGGATAGAAGGACAATGGAAGAGCAGTTTATACAAGTTGCAGCAAAAATGGGATTGAAGGTAAACGAGGAAAAAAGTAAATTTATGAGAATAGGCGGAAAGGAGACTAGAAATAACGGTAAGCACAGGAAAAAAGATTTTTGAGGAGATGGATGAGTTTGTCTATTTAGGATCTCTAATTAGTAATAAAATAAATGAGGAAACAGCAGTAAACTACAGAATCGGTAAGGCCAATACATGTACGGGAATGCTTAACAGAAATATTAAGTCAAGAAATGTATCATCTAAAAAAAAAAAAAATCTAGAATCACCAAAATAATGGCTATACAATACGATCATCAAGCCAACCCTTTTGTATGGAGTATAAACCTGGTTATTTAATAAAAAACTTGAACAAACATTAGGTGAGAGAGGAAAATTATAAGGAGAATATATGGAGGGATCAAGGTGGAGAGAGGGTATGTTAGGAGGTCTAATGCTGAAATCTAACAACTGTACAGGGTGTCCCGAAAAAAGTGTGCAATATTCTATCAGCGGTTTCTAGAGCTTAAAATAGGAAGAAAAGTTTATATAAACATAGGTCGACAAACGTTCCCTAAGGGCGCTACGGTCTTTTAAAGAGGCTCCCCTCAAGATGGTTTTTCCTTAATATTTCCGAAACGTGTTGAGATAAAGACATAAAATTTGGTATTCTACCCTAGTTTTTTATGCTGGATTTAAAAATATTAACAATTTATATTATTTTTTTATCATAATATTAAATTTATTTCTGTTATTTTTGCCTAAATGTTAGCTACGTTGCAATAGAAATATGTATTTATGTAATATTTACCAGTTATTAAATTAGTTTTTTCGTTGCCATGGCTAATTATTCAACAATTCATTTAAATTCGCAGTACATTTCCTATCATGTGACAAATTTTTTAGTTTGATTTTATGCAAAAATGGCACAATTTATCGATATTCAATAAGAGTACCTTTTTTATGTAGAAGACCCTAAATTTTCAAATTCTAAAATTGAATTTCAAAAATAGAATCACACAAAAATTTTTGTTGCTAAAATAATCGGAGTCCGTCCCGGTTACATACGCTTCCAAACAAAACTGACTAAAATTGTTAATATTTTTAAATCCAGCATAAAAAACTAGGCTAGAATACCAAATTTTATGTCTTTATCTCAACACGTTTCGGAAATATTAAGGAAAAACCATCTTCACGGGAGCCCCTTTAAAAGACCGTAGCGCCCTTAGGGGACGTTTGTCGACCTAT